CCATTCTAGGGACAATCACAGAAGTAGAGAAAATCTCACAGGTTCAACAGATCTTATTAAATCCCATCAATCAAAAGGTACAGAGTTGTAAAACTCTTGTTGGTGGGAAGAGGGTACTGAGTCTCCCTCTTCTTTTTTTTTTTTTTTGAGAGGAAAAAAAGAATGAAAGAGAAAGAAAAAAAAGAGTAAAAAAAAAGAATGAAAGAGAAAGAAAGAGGAAGAGAAAGCGGGAGAGAGAATGGGAATGCTGCTTTATTGCCCAGGCTACAATGCAGTCTAAAAATGGGTATTGAAAACCTCTTTTGGGCCGGGCACGGTGGCTCACACCTGTAATCCCAGTACTTGCGGAGGCCAAGGTGGGTGGATCACGAGGTCAAGAGATCAAGACCATCCTGGTCAACATGGTGAAACACCGTCTCTACTAAAAATACAAAAATTAGCTGGGCATGGTGGTGCGCGCCTACCCAGCTACTCAGGAGGCTGAGACAGGAGAATTGCCTGAACCCAGGAGGCAGAGGTTGCAGTGAGCCGAGATCACGCCATTGCCCTCCAGCCTGGGTAACAAGAGCAAAACTCCATATCAAAAAAAAAAAAAAAAAAAAAGAAAACCTCTTTTATGCCAATAATTGTGCTTAAATGGAGACAGGAAGGAATAAGGGAGGAAAATAACAAACAAGCAGCCAACCAATATTTCATTTAAACCTGTGAAATGCTATGCAATTGCTAAGGAGTGATTTACTTCCCAGTATATAGTCACTTTTAGAGTAGGTGTGATGTGCTGACATGAATGTATGTTTTGTGTATTTGGGGTGGTGAATTCTATAAATGTTTGTTAAGTTTACTTATTCCGGGTCTGAGTTCAAGTCCTGGATATCCTTGCTAATTTTCTGTCTCGTTGATCTGTCTAATATTGACAATGTGATGTTAAAGTCTCCCACTATTATTGTGTGGGAGTCTAAGTCTCTTTGTAAGTCATTAAGAACTTGCCTTATGTATCTGGGTGCTCCTGTATTGGGTGTGTATATATTTAGGATCGTTAGCTCTTCTTGTTGCATTGATCCTTTTACCATTATGTAATGTCCTTCTTTGCCTCTTTTGATCTTTGTTGCTTTAAAGTCTATTTTATCAGAGGCGAGAATTGCAACTCCTGCTTTTTATTTATTTATTTTTGCTCTCCATTTGGTTGGTAAATCTTCCTCCATCCCTTTGAGTTTTTGTGTATTCTTGCATGTGAGATGGGTCTGGATGCAGCATACTGATGGGTTTTGACTTTCCATCCAATCTGCCTGTCTGTGTCTTTTGATTGGGGGATTTAGTCGATTTAAATTTAGGATTAGTAATAATACATGTGAGTTTAATACTGCCATTTGATGCTAGCTGGCTGTTTTGCCCATTAGTTGATGTAGATTCTTTATTATGTTGATGCTCTTTACTTTTTGGTATATTTTTGTAAAGGCTGATACTGGTTGTTCCTTTCCATGTGTAATGCTGCTTTCAGCAGCTCTTGTAAAGCAGGCCTGGTGGTGATGAAATCTCTGAGTACTTGCTTGTTCACAAGAGTTTATTTTTCCTTCACCTGTGAAGCTTAGTTTGGCTGAATAAGAAATTCTGGGTTGAAAGTTCTTTTCTTTAAGGATGTTGAATATTGGCCCTCACTCTCTTCTGGCTTTTAGGGTTTCTGCTGAGAGATCAGCTGTGAGATTGATAGGCTTCCCTTTGTGGGTAACCTGACCTTTCTCTCTGGCTGCCCTTAGCATTTTCTCCTTCATTTCAACCCTGGTGAATCTGACAATTATGTGCCTTGGGGTTGCTCTTCTTGAGGAATATCTTTGTGGTGTTCTCTGTATTACCTGGGGTTGAATATTGTCCTGCCTAGCTAGGTTGGGAAAGTTTTCCTGAATAATATCCTGAAAAGTATTTTCCAGCTTGGATTCATTCTCTTCGTCACATTCAGGTACACCTATCAAACTGTAAATTAGGTCTTTTCACATAGTCCCATATTTCTTGGAGACTTTGCTCATTCCTTTTTATCCTTTTTTCTCTAATCTTGTCTTCTCATTTTATTTCATTCGGTTGGTCTTTGACCTCTGATATCCTTTCTTCTGCTTGATCAATTCGACTGTTAAAACTTGTGCATACTTCACGAAGTTCTCGTGTTATGTTTTTCAGCTCCATTAACTCACTTATATTCCTCTCTATATTGTCTATTCTCGTTAGCATTTCATCAAACCTTTTTTCAAAGTTCTTAGTTTCTTTGCATTGGGTTAGAACATATTCTTTTAGCTCACAAAAGTTTTTTATTATCCACCTTCTGAAGCCTAATTCTGACAACTGATCACACTCATTCTCTATCAGGCCTTATTCCCTTGCTGATAAGGAGCTACGATCCCCTGAAGGAGGAGGGGCATTCTGATTTAGGATGTTTTCAGCCTTTTTACACTGGTTTCTTCCCATCTTTGTGGATTTATCCACCTGTCGTCTTTGTAATTGCTAACTTTCAGATTGGGTCTCTGAGTTGCTGTCCAGATTGTTGGTGGTGGTGTTATTTCTGTTTCTTTGTTTTCCTTCAGCAGACTTCCCTCCCCCACAGAGCTGAACCTTTCTGGGTTCAGCTGTGCTTGCTGTGGAACTCTCAACAGTCAGTGTTTCCAATTGCTGTTTTTTTGTGGGGGTGGGACAGCTGAACCCGATCACCTGGCTCCCCACCTCAGAGCCCCCTTTTTTTCTTTTCCTAATGGAATGGTTGATTCTCGCCCAGGTGCCCCAGTCTCCCGCCGAAAAGGTGCCGGGATCTATGCCATTTCCCGGGTGGCGACCGTGCCGGCTGAAACAGCAGTGCTGAGATGCATGGCACTTTTCTGCCCAGGAATCTCCCAGTGTGGCTCCCGGCTTCAGTCCCCCTCCCAATCAGCTGAATGGGTTACTGCCTTCTCGGAGCTCCAAACACCAACTAAAAGGGCACCCAGTCCCGCATACTCCGCACTGAGAACCGCCAGGCCAGGCTGCCAGCAAAACAGTCGCGCCGGCCAAAAGAGTTGTGCTGGCGACCCGTGGGGCTCCTCCCCTGGGAATCTCCTGGTCCATAAGCAACAAAAATTCGTCTGGAAGTCTGGCGTCCACTCAGTCCCTGCGCCTTCACTGGGAGCTGCAACCCTGAGCTGCTGCTAGACGGCCATCTTGGATCTCTCTGGAGTCTCCCTCTTCATCCAGGCTGGAGTGCAGTGGAACGATCTTGACTCACTTCAACCTCTGCCTCCCGGGTTCTAGTGATTTTCCTGCCTCAGCCTCCCAAGTAGCTGGGATTACAGACACCTGCCACCACACCAGGCTAATTTTTAAATTTTTAGTAGAGATTGGGTTTCACCATATTGGTCACGTTGGTCTTGAACTCCTGACCTCAAGTGATCCACACGCCTCAGCCTCCCAAAGCGCTGGGATTATAGGCATGAGTCACCACACCCGGCCAAAACTAAAACGATTTTTTTTTTTTTTTTTTTGAGACGGAGTTTCGCTCTTGTTACCCAGGCTGGAGTGCAATGGCACGATCTCGGCTCACTGCAACCTCCACCTTCTGGGTTTAAGCAATTCTCCTGCCTCAGCCTCCTGAGTAGCTGGGATTACAGGCACGCGCCACTGTGCCCAGCTAATTTTTGTATTTTTAGTAGAGACGGGGTTTCACCATGTTGACCAGGATGGTCTCGATCTCTTGACCTCGTGATCCACCCGCCTCGGCCTCCCAAAGTGCTGGGATTATAGGCATGAGTCACCACGCCCAGCCAAAACTAAAACTCTTAACATACATTCAAATATGGTTTTAATTTCAGACAAATATCAGATTCTTTAGATAGGCCTATACTATGCCCTGAACAATGTAGCATGCAATAGATATTTGCTGAAGGGTTGAATCTTCTCTAGCGTAAAATGGATGTATTGAGGGTACCGTTACTTTAACTTCTGCCTCCCACACTCCTACACCACTAATTATTACAGCATGAAAACACTGCAGTGAAACCAACCTTCTACCTTCAACAATGTAAGCAGAGTTATAATTTACCATTTTGTTATACTGTACATCCAAGAAGAAAAAAAAGTAATTTTTTAGATCATTTTATGTAGCCATTGGTAATCCAAGATACCACAAAAAAATTTAGGAAGATGTTCCTTTTTTTAAACAATCATGTTCTTAACATACTATATAATTTCTTTGAAATGTTTGATGAAATGCAACAAAAGCACAAATATTTTCTTTTATCAATAAGCTTTTTGAACGAGATATGAGAAAATTAGCTCCATTAAACTGAGGTGGCCTATTGCTTTAATAGTATTCTAAACTCAATGAAAGATAAAAATCCCACGAGGAAAATACAGTCATGCTGAATGTGTGCCACAAGAAAGTTCCCTCTGTATTTAGTTCACAAGTGGAAACATTTGCTTCTGATTTACTGAACTGTTAAAATATCTCATTGCAAACACATAGAATCTTAAAACTCTATGTGGAACCTTCTTGGAAGCCAATATCAATTAAAAGTTAATCTCTATGCAGTAAAAGGGGCCTCTTGATATATAAAGCATACAAGACGAAAAATTCAGACTAAAATATTCCCTAATATCAAGCATTATTTTTTAACTACAACTTATACTTGCTGAATATCAATTTACTAAAACAAGCAAGGATGACCTTATCTTGGCAAAATTCAGAATACTGTTTCTTCAAATCTTAGAATGCATCTTGATGAACCACATTCTTCCATCTGCTTTGTTCTATATCTTCATATCCCAAATCGAAATTAAACCCTTCTCAAGTAGTGGCCAAAATTTCACGAATCACAAGAAAAGACACAGAGCAGAGAAGCGGCACGGTATGAATAACAGAGGCAGACAAAATGAGAGATGGAACAGTCTTGGTAACGACCTTAAAAAAGCAAACGGAATGTATGTTGAGACAGAAAATCTATACAACATGGACGGGAATCACATTAAATAATTCCATTCCCACTTACCTGACGAGCTCTCAGTAAATACTGTTAACGTTTGTCCTCCGACACTTTGCAAGACAAATGGATGTTCTCTAGGAGCACTGACTGAAGCCGGTTTTCCGCCAATATCGTGAATATTTGCAAGGTCCTCATTCAAAGTAAATGACACCTAATAGACACATTAACCAGAGATTATAACAGACTTTTATATTCAAAGTACATGTAAAAAAAAATTTTAGTTATAAATCAAATTTTTTAAAATGTGTTTTCCAGTCATCATTAAACACTTGAACTTTATTTAAAAAGCCTTAATACTTGGCCAGGCGCGGTGACTCACGCTTGTAATCTCAGCACTTTGGGAGGCCAAGATAGGCAGATCACGAGAGGTCAGGAGTTCGAGACCAGCCTGGCCAACATGGTGAAACCCCATCTCTACTAAAAATGCAAAAGTTAGCCAGGCGTGGGCGTGGTGGCACTTGCCTGTAATCCCAGCTATTTGGGAGGCTGAGGCAGGAGAATTGCTTGAACCTGGGAGGCGGAGGTTGCAGTGATCCGAGATCCTGCCATTGCACTCCGGCCTGGGCAACAGAGCAAGACTCCGTCTCAAACAAACAAATTCCTTAATACTTGATCATAAAAAGAGAATGTAAACAGGACACAGCAGTGCACACCTATAATCCCAGCTACTTGGGAGGCTGAGGCAAGAGGATTCCTTGGGCCAGGAGTTATAGGCTATAGCTGACAATGAATAGCCATTGCACTCCAGCCTTGGCAACACAACAAGACCCTGTCTCTTAAAAAAAAACAAAAGAGAAACAATCTATTCCTGTCTGTCAGAATAATGGGGCTAATAAAAAAAAAAAAAGAAAGAAAAACACCAAAATCACATCCTTTGCAGCAACGATGCAGCTGGAAGCCATTATCCTATGTGAATTAGTACAGAAACAGAAAACCAAATACCACATGTTCTCACTTACAAGTGGAAGCTAAACATTGGGCATACACAGACCTAAAGATGGAAACAACAGACACTGGGGACTCCAAAAAGAGAGGAAGAGAGGGGACAAAGGGTTGTAAAACTACCTATTGGTTACCATGTTCATTATTTGGGTGACAGAATAAATATCAGCCCAAATCTCAGCATCATGCAATACACCCATGTAACAAACCCACACATGTATCCCTGAAATAAAATTAAAATTACTAAAAGGAACACAGAAATAAAAAACAAAAACAAAAAGAATAATGGGGCTAATCTACCATTATGAAAAAAGACAGATTTCATGTTTTCTCTGGTCTGTAGCTAGAGAACTCTTTCCAAAACAGAAGTAAGATTATTTTTCCCAGCTAGGCGAGGTGGCTCACACCTATAATCCCAGCACCTTGGGAGGCTGAGGCTGGTGGATCACTTGAGGTTAGGAGTTTGAGACCAGCCTGGTCTCAAAAAATACAAAAATCAGGCAGGCATGACAGAACAAGACTCCATCTCAAAAAAAAGACGATTTTTTTCCTAAAATCTCTGAGGTCTGAGGTCAAGGGATCACGTCTTACTATCTTTTGTATCCTTATGATCTGACAGAGGGCACAGTGCATAGGAGGAAAATAATATTGCTGAATAAGTGAGTATTTTAATAATATTAAGAAAGCAATTGTACTTAAGGTTGAGGGGTGAAGTTAACTATTTACTCTGAAAAGCTTAAACACTCCCATAAACAGAGGATATATTTATTTTATAGGTCTTAATGACAACCATATGAGTACATGGTATTATTTTTGAATGTTTTAACAAATACAACTAAACAGTTACAAGGACAGCTCAATAATAAAGTTAGAATAAAAAGACATACTAGGTGTTCTTTCAAAATGCTTTTTATTATATACCAGATCTCCCCAAAAGAACACATTTTTACACTAAACAGACTCATAAACAAAATTACTCATCTCCTAAGCACTTAGGAAGATGATAAAGTATTTATTAAATATATCTCTACTATATGATAAGTACTATAAATCACAAACTGGACTCAATGGGTCAAAATCCAAAATTCTCAAAAATCCACATCAAATGCCTCTGTCACACTGAAGTAATACTAATATATTAGTAGAGTGTTATAGAAATTTTCATGGTACCAAGAGAGGGAAAATGTAGGTCAAAGAAGAAAAATTCTGAGAATGAACAACTAGAAAAGAGTCCATTCATTCACACAAAGGTGGCATTTATACCTTTATATGTTCCTAACCATCACCTGATGTAGAGTTTTCCAAAATTCAAAAGCTCTTTTTTCACTGTTACTAATGAAAAGATAGTCTTATGTTTTAACTGTAATTTCCATATAATCTTACCTCAGTCCTTCCTTGATTCCTAGAGGAGAGGAAAAAAAAATTTTTAATTATTTAGATTTCAAGTTGTTTTCAAAGGTGAGTTAAAAGGTTTTAAAAAAATCGTCTTTATATAAAACATTACATTTACAGAGATAAACAAATATTTACCCTTGGCTCCCCATAACCATCCTATTTATAATCTTATAGGAAAAATAAACTCACATTAATCACACATCATTACTTTGCATATTATGAGTGTATGTCACTTAACACTATTATACTCTCTGCTAGTTCTATTTTGTCCAAATAATGATCTTATTACAATTCTTTCTTTTTTTCTTTTACTATTTCTTTCTTTTCTTTTTTTTTTTTTTGAGACAGGATATCCCTCTATCACCCAGGCTAAAGTACAGTGGCACCATCATGGCTCACTGCAGTCTTGACTTCCCAGGATCAACTGATTCTCTCATCTCAGGCTCCTAAGTAGCGGGGTCTATAGGTACGTTCCATCACACCCAGCTAACTTTTGTAATGTTTTGTAGAGACAAGGTCTCACCATGTTGTCCAGGCTGGTCTTGAACTCCTGGCCCCAATCCACCTGCCTCAGCCTCACGAAGTGCTGGGATTACAGGTGTGAGCCACTGTGCCAAGCCTTCTTACAACTCTTATCTTTATTTCTAAGCATTTTTGGCATTCGGCAGCATGTTAATACATATTTAATACCAGATCTACATAGTACTTTATCAAATGTTACTATTCATTTTACCTAGCTGAAGAGGTTTCATTTACTAATGAAATCTTAAACATCAAGTAACTGATGTTTAAATTATGAGCAATTAATTTAAATTACGAGCATTTTTCTCCATTATAAAACAATATATGCCCCTTATATAAATATTTTTAAAACAGACAAGCAAAAAGTAAGTTTTAAAATAGCCATAATTCCACTGTTAACATCTTGGTACAGTATCTTTCCACACTATTTTCTATATACTATATTTGAATTACTTTAAAAACGTCCATTTTAAATTTTTTTACAAATACAAAATCAGTATAAATCCTATATAAGAACTTAATTTTTAAAAACCATGTACTAAATACCTCCTATATGCAAAGTACCGAGTTTAAGGTCCCTGTCCCACCCAGCAGAAGACAAAAAAAGCATATCCATAAACTATAAAATGAGATAAATTTAAATACTCGACTAAGGGAGCCACAATGCACCAGGATCAGACAGGAAGACGCCATTTCTTCCATTTTAAGAGTTAAGGAATGGTTAAACAAAGAGGGAACTCTGAGCTGAGCTTTAAGGAGTACTAAGATCGCAATAAGTTGAAGTGGGGAAATATAATATCAGAAGTGAGAGTTGAAAAGTCACAAAAGGGTCTGATCACAAATGAGTGATCCGATTTGGCTAGAAGGGAAAGGCAAAATAAGGAAGGGTGGGAGATGAACTCTAAAGCAGAAGTGGAGCTCAACCATGGAAGCTCTCAAATATCACAGTACAAAGCACAGACTTTATTCTTTGGGCACTGGAGATCTGCAGATATTGTTTGAATAAAAGACTAACAAGTACGAAAATTTCCTACAGGAAACTTGTACTGGAAAATATATACAGAATAGACTAAGGGTGACTAGAGATAGGAAGACAGATTAGAAAAGCACTGTTTCTCCATAACATTCAGTTTATTTCCAACCTGCCTTCATTCACTCGCTCAGTTAATCACCCATTCTATTACAAAGAGTCTACTATACATCCACTATGCATTGTGCTTAGGTACATGGTACAGCGAAGTCCTGACTTCCTCAAGGAAGTCCCAGTTTAATGAAAATAGACAAGTTCAATCCATGAACAACTACAAATAAGACAGTTATATCTTGCCATAACAATAAAAACCTTATGGCAAAGGTATACATCATAAATGCACCTGCTATGGAAATGCAAACTAAAAAGCCAGGAAAAGAAGTGAGTGAGGGATGAGGCTGAAAACATGGGGAAATTCCAGGCTAAGGGAATAGCCCTAGTGAAAAAAAGAAAATATCTAGCACATTCTTCTGACACTAGCGAATGGCAGCCTGGAGTCAAATGGGAGAGTCACTTAGGACAGACTAAGGAATCCAGATTTTTCCAGATTTGTTTATGTAGGATTTCTCAGTCTTTTATACATTAAATGTCAGACTCCTTTTTGTTGATGAAGTATCTTAAAAAGGTGAGAAAATTTTAAGATTTCACATAAAAATATGAGTTTCCAGCTTCTCTTACAAGAAGTAAAGATATGGCAAAGATTGGCCCCCAATTCAGCATGACAATACCCTCAACATGCATTTTGGGGCAGGCCCTAAATTCACCACAGTCCCTTCTCTGACACTCCTAAATTTAGCTTTTAGAGCTCAATTGAACATAACTACCTTTAATTTAGCTACCTATAAGGCAGAGGTGCTACAGACAAGCAAAGGAAACAATGCAGAAGACACATCCATAATGTTTACAGAATTCAACTGAGGCTAACACAAGCACCCGCACAGAAAATAAAGGAAGCTTGAACCGGCCAGTGGTAGAATGCAAGGAAGAGACACACAGCAGGTCACTGAATTGTTAGAACTAAGAGAAGAGGAAATGACTGGAGGTGGGCAGCATAGGAAAAAAGATGAATTAAAAATCATGTTGACATTTTCAGCTTGGTAACTAGATGCAATTAGGGAACACAGGAGAGGACAACTTCATTATCCTCATAACAGCCCCTTAACTGGAATGTTATAAGACTGATGAGCGCTAGATGAGTTAATATTCTCTAGGAAAGTAACTTGTTTTAAAAGAACGGCATATTCCCTTTTCTTGGTGTGTCAATATATGAAGTAGATATAACTTTTCTTATTCTACATTACAACTACAATATACACTTTGCATGATGACCTGTGCACAACATTTTCAATGCTCATTACTGTGCCATCTTGGGAAACTAAGGAAGCAAACATCTGGCCAGCTTTCACTGGCTTCTCACTGGCTGAGCATCTTCTCCTTTACTGCTGTGAGTCCATTTCTCAATACCCACAGCTACTTTTTTAGGCTAGCCTCATTGCTTTTGCCTTTCTTAATTTGTATTAATCGTGTCTTTCCTTTTTCTGACGCTTTTAAAATACTTACTGGATTTGATACCAATGGGGTCTGACTTTTCACTATCACTAACAGCCAATAAGCAGCACCTTTTCCAGGTTAAGAAAACTAATCAGATAATAGCAATACTCAACTGTGCTCATGGCTCTTGTTTTTGTTTTTAAAGACAGGGTTTCACCATGTTGGCCAGGCTGGTCTTGAACTCCTGACCTCACGTGATCCACCTGCCTTGGCCTCCCAAAGTGCTGAAATTACAGGTGTGAGTCACCACTCCTGGCCTCTTGTTTTTGTTTTTATTTTTGTGGCAGGGTCTTGCCCTGTCACCCAGGCTGGAGCGCAGTGGTGTGGTGATGGCTCACTGCAGCCTTGACCTTTTGGGCTGAAGATCCTCCTATCTCAGCCTCTGGAGTAGCTGGGACCACAGGCGCACATTACCACATCGGGCTAACGTCTGATTTATTTTTGTAGAGACAAGGTCTCGCTATGTTGCACCAGCTGGTTGAACTCCTGGACTCAAGGGATCTTTCTGCCTCGGCCTCCCAAAGTACTGGGATTACAGATATAAACCACTGCACCAGGCCTTGTTTTGTTTTTAAGTCCTATTTATACTTCCCCTAACTGAAAAATTGGGCTCAAAAACCATTAGGTGCAGCCAAGCAAGGTAGGCATCTTCTTCGGAGTGGGTTGGGTAGGATGGTCATAGTCCGAATGGGGTGAAGAGGATGTCATGGGGTGAAGCAGGCAAGCCGGGGTGAGGTATCAGAGACCAATCAGGTAAGGAGGGCATTGCTATAAAGGAGTGGCTCGGTAAGAAATGTGTCAGAGCCTGGCAGGTGAGAGCAGCCACATACAGGAGGACAACCTGAAACAGGATGCTGGAGCCTCAGTGGAGTAAGGAGGCATGCCTATGGAGGAGTGGGGAAGGCTCAGAACAGCAGTGGAAGCCTGAACAGGGGGAGGAGGGTGTCCTAGTGGAGGACGGCGTAAGGGGCAGCACACTGACGGGAGCCACAGCCCAAGCAGGGCAAGTAGGGTATTCGCATAGGGAGCAGGGAACAGACTGAACAAGTAAGTAAATACACTGAGGACAATAGGAACCTTTTGTACTTTCTCCCTTTCGGAAAAGAGGAACAAGAAAGAAAAGGAAGAAGACTAGAACTAAGTATGTGGTATTACACTGGAACTGGATATGTTAGTGCAAATTTGTGATTTCAATATATGTAAGTATAGAAATACAGATATAAAAAGGGATGATGGTGTGTGTGTGTGTCTGTGTGCGTGTGTCTGTGTGTGTGTCTGTGTGTGTGCGTGTCTGTGTGTGTGTCTGTGTGTGTGTGTGCCTGTGTGTGTCTGTGTGTGTGTCTGTGCCTGTGTGTGTGTGTGTGTACACATATGCCCCCTAGTTCTATTCACTGAGAAGGCCTGGAAGCAGCAATAAGCATTTGGGGCATCCAGATCTCAGTTTCTAAATGTCATTCTCCCCTAAAAGGAACCATGGCCAACTCCTGGGAGAAATGGCTAACTCCAGGGCTCAGGTAGAAATGTACAAGGTGAGTCTAAAACATCTCTCTATGTCAAAAAATAAGAGGTGCTCAAAGAATGATGAAGACATGTCAGAAGGACATGAATATGTTATCATTAATTCATCCTTACATATTAATCGTTCCATCACTTACCTATTACTTCCATGGGATAAATTCCCAGCAGTTGATGGAATTAAAAACAAAGAAACAGAAATTTATGGAATTGCTGGATGAAAGGCGTGAATATTTTGTTACTAATTTTTCTAGCTTCCTCATTATCCCAGTCCCAATCTACTGGATGAGCTTATCTGTCTGTCTCTCTAAGTAATGGCGGCATCAAGGACTGGACAAAATGCCTGAGCTGTGAGGTAACTGGCAGAAAACATACATTGTTGTGAGTAG